ACCTCCGTTGCGCCGGAATCCAAGCCGAATCGCGCCGCCGCCTCGATCCAAATCGCCGCCAAGTCCGCCGCTTCTTCTATTGGGTGAGGGGATTGTGAGGGTCTCGGGTGAGGAGTGAGATAAGAAGGAAACGAAAACCAGTTCGCGCGCTGAGTGGTGACAGAAGCGGGAAAAAGAGGCGCTCGCGCGCGGGTGGCTGCCCTCGCCCGCGAGAATTTCGCGACTTTCCTCAGCCAGATTTTGGGCGAATATTCGACAGTATCTGGCTATCCGTATCCTCCCTGGCTGGTCAACCAAACGGGTGGCATCCCTAGCAAAATGGGCTATCCCTGTCCCTAGGGTGGATAGCCACACAACCAAACGCCACCAGAGCGGACGAGCTCGCCTGCTCACGCTACATGTGCCAATGGGACAACGACGTGTTGTGTACGTGCATTGAATGCCATCGTAGGGAGGAGGGAAAGGTAGGTAGCGTCCAACAGTAGCATACGGTGAATTCGACGCCTGGTGTACGACGGCTTGACGGTACACTGTTTATATGTTCCGTTGGTACAGGACAAGGTAATTCGGCGTTTAAATTGGTACGACTGCATCGCGTCGGTAAACACTATTTCCCGGTTGCTGTCGATGAAGATTGTAAGCATTCCGTCACTATGTCGTTTGACCATACAGGACATTCACAGGGCAACTGAAAGTTGACTTGCTTTGACAATGGCTGCACAACTCAAAAACTTCGTCCCGGACCAGTAGCAGTAGCTGCGGAGAAACTATGATTTAGAGCAATGGAACTTCCTTTCATAATGATCCATTAAACTTACATTAGCCAAACTATTACGAGTTAATCAACGGATACGCATAACATGTGATCGTCACTCATCAGGTGGAAAACCGACTAGAGTGAACGATTCATTCGCTAGGGTAGGTTCGATCAAGCAAACCTAAATCCCTCCCTCAAACGGGGTTTCAGCGCGACTCAAGCTGGCTAATTTTTCTTGGTATATACAATTAATTCCTGTGGTACAATACATTAAAAGAAACATATGCAAGATAAAATTGTCGTCGTATTTGTATGATAAAACATCCAGAGTTAATTTTTGTCATGGTCCATGGCAAGTTTGACAGAAAATGTTCTAAAGATCATGGGAAACTTAGCTAAAAAGCTTGTTACTAGATCAATCATTTTTAGGATTTTTTTTCTGAAAATGCCATGTCACTACAGCAATCATTCTTAAATTTGCCATGCCGCAGAACACTACATTTTTCTTGGGGCATCTCCAATGCCGACCCTAGAACCACCGGCAACAGTCGAACCATGCTGTCCGGATGTGTTTTGCCCTCCAACGCGGGTTTGTATCGATCCGCCGATCAATCTGGACCACTGCCATGCCCGCGTCTGACAACCGTGGCCCACCCAGAGCATGCATCAGCCGGCTTTGATGTCGAGCTATGTGACTGGACAGGAGGGCGGCGCTGACGGACGCGATGTCTCGGGCGTCGCTGCGTCCTGAGAAACCAACTGAGGCCGCTACGCCGCATTGATGTTGGCTAACCAGCCCTTCACATGGACTGGCCGAGATTATTTAAGCCGTGCACCGACAATGCACACATCCACACTTCATCCTCTCTGAGCCACTCCTCCCTTCCGAGTGCCTCCTCCTCCCCGAGCATCTCCAACTCCGATGATGTCGAAGTCATTGTTGTCCGTGCAGGCAGGCGGAGGCGGTGGCAGTTCTTCGCCAGGAGGCTCATGGTGCCACCTCACTCGCTCTCCAGGCCCTTCGGCATCCACGACGGTCGGCTCCTTCTGCAAGAAGGAGATCATCATCTCCTCCCGCGACAGGGAGGACCAGGCACCACCGCGGGAGTAGCAGTCGTGCCTCCTCGCAAAGGCCTCTCTGACAGACGAGGAATTCGTTCGTTAGATGAAACTTATGACAGAGCAATCGCTTCGTCAGATGGGCCCGACGCCACCCTTGCGGTCGTGTGTGATCAACGAGGAGCCGCCGTCCCCACCACGAAACCGCGACATCCAAATTGGGCGCCGCGTGAAGGAAGAGTAGGCGTCGCTGCCGGTGCATAGCCGCTACACCCGTATTGACGGGCCTGCGCCCCCGCCCCGCCGCAACCGTCGCGGAAAGTTTATCAAGGTCAAGCTGCCGTTCGCGATCACCAAGGCAGGAGGCCACATCCTCCACTACATTGGAGGCGATGGTGACAGCGGTCCCTCGGGCTCGAGGAACATTGTGCCTGAGGAGGAACAGGCGACAGGACAACAGGCATGCTACGAGCAGTGCATCGCCACCTGTAGTTCCGTGTTCGCCAAGTCTGACACGACGCTGAATAGGTCAGCAATGACCCAGACCTCGCCGCTGCCTGGACCATCGACTGCTCCGTCACCACATCGCAGACGGCCGCCAAGGGGCGCCGCGGCCTTGACGCTGAGTTCATCAAGATCGGCGAGGAGGTGTTCGCTTAGCGACTCTTCCGCCAACGCCGGTTGGGGCAAGGCCGCCACTAGAGCTCTATGGGCGCCGTTGGCATTAGACGCGGCGGCCCTCCGCACCACGCAGACCCTCCGCACCACGCAGGAGGAAGCAGATAGGCTCCTCCGCGAGCGGTAGGCAATGGCCAGAAAATGTTGTCATGATGGACTGGCGCCATATTGCCATTGGAGGGTCGATGGCGACGATTACACGACGACGACGACGGTGTGGCCGGGAAGGGAGCCCACGCGTATGAGGTGGTCGTCTGATACATGGCGTAGGTTTTTTTGTTTTCAGTAAAACCGCCGAGATATCGGTCGTTTTATGTAAATTATGATCAAACTGGAATGAATTTTGCGTGTTTGATTAAATATTGTCCACCCTGTTCAAATACTCTTTGAAAAGTATATGGATAGCTTTGAATGGCCGACTCCCGCATTAGTGTCCATGGATAGTTTTGAATGAATTGTGTTATTTTTTATATTTATTCTAAGTGTTGCGGACTTAAAAAAATAAAAATGAACGTTTTGCGAGATAGAGTTGGATGACCAGCTCTCGTATATATGCCGGTGGACTCTCCGGACTAGTCTGCAGACAAATATAGTGTCCGTTTTGAGAACGATCAAGGACGCAAGGGAGTCGGCGGGCAGCGAACGGCGGCAGGATGGCAGCACAGTGTGGCAACAGACCAGCAACCGAGGGACATGGGCCGTGCACTCGACACTCGTGCAGATGACCAATGAGCTGAGGAAGTTACTGGAGCGTTATGACGACGGCGGGCGGAGGTCGAACATGAGGTCCAGCGTCTGGTCACGTGTGTCATGTATATTTTTTCAAGTCAATGTGTGTCATCTATGTGCTAGTTATCCCGAGGCCTCTCTGGCGCCTTCAGCGTCGGTTAAAAGCTAATTCGCCAACCGGCGCACACCCCTCATGACCATTTACCCTTTTTCTGTTAAACTTTTTAAAAAGTGTGCAGGCGACATGACTCAAACTCGTGACTTCTTCATTGGGAGAGAACTGCACCAACCAACTACGACATCTTAACGCTCATGGCTATTACCTTCTTTTTGTTCCTTTTCTTCTTCTTCAGTTCGCGAAAGCCCTCGGTTTTGGGAAGCTTCCCCAACCGGTTTTCCCGGTTTGCTAGTCAGTTTCGGGTGGTTCTTATTTGGTTCTTCTTTCTTTTTCCTTGTTTCTTTTTCTTGTTTTTTTATTTATTTTCTTTCTTTTTTCTTAAATGCCAAACTTTTAAAAATTCATGCACTTTTTTCCCCGAATTGATGAACTTTTTTCCAAAAATCCATGAACTTTTTCATCAAAATCAACGACCTTGTTATTTTCAAAATCGATGAAGTTTTTTCAAATCCGTGGAATTTTTCTCAAAATTCGTGCACTTTTTTCAAATTTGTGAACTTTTTGTCAAAATAAATGAACTTTTTTGCAAAATCAATGAAAAAAAATTCAAATTCATGAACCTTTTTCAAATCCATGAACTTTTTTTCAAAACCATGTTTTTAAAAAGTTTGGAACTATTACTGAATTTGCTTGTTTTTCAAATCCAAGGACTTCTTTGAATTCGATAACATTTTTGCTTTTTGGATTTTTTTTTCGTTTTTGTCAAAAGTCAACTGCTGACTAGTCAATGGGCTGAACCCTGACCCATACAAAATTCTATATATGTAATACCTCCAAAATTTTATCTAAAAAACATTAAAATAATATGTAATGCCTAGTGTTGGATATTTTGTGATTTGCATCTAAACAGTAGATCAATAATTTGTTGCTACTACAGTGTTGCATCAGTGGTCCAGTTGCTACAGCAATTTTGTCATGATCGGGGGCAATTTTCCTCCAACTTAGTGCACACTGCACAGGGCATATAAATACTCCCTCCGTTTTTATTTAGTTCGCATATTAGCTTTGGTCAAAGTCAAGCTTTACAAACTTTGACCAAGCTTATAAACAAAAATATTAAGATATACAATAACAAATCAACAACATTAGATTTATTATTGAATGTACTTCCACATCGTATATACTTATTATGATAAATGTCTATATTGTTTTCTATAAACTTGGTCAAACTTTATGAAGTTTGACTTCAGTCAACTCTAATATGCAGAGTAAATAAAAACAGAGGGAGTACATGTGAGAGGAGATCCGTACGCGGCTGCTCTAAGCTCATGCTCTCACCCTCACTCAAGCTCGACCCCAAGCTCAGGATCAGAGCAAGCACTGAAGGCATTGGGAGGCACCAAACAGACATCATATTAAGATCTAGAAGGAGAAGGAAGAAGAAGAGAAGATGACAAGACCTCAAGATCAAGGTAACTGTCCATCTTCTTATTTCTATGTGGCTCAAGCTTAACCTGGTTGATCCTGACAATCAACACATGGGGCGCAGCTCTGCTCTTGTCCATAAATTTAGACTTTATGTCACCTCATTATTCTAACTATTGATCCCCTTCCCGTCCCCCGCGTCGCCTCTGGGCGGCTCGGGCGGAGCCCAGCACCGTCGGCGCCTCGTCCCACCCCGCCCCCTCCACCTCCCCTCGCCGCCGCCGAATGACGCGGCCGGGCTAAGCCCGCGCAGCGGACGGCGGCGGCGGGGCTCTCCTGGCCCGCAGCGGCGCGGGCGGCTATGGATCTCGGGCGGCGGCCCGGTCTTCGCGGCGGTTGTCGGCTGCTGCGGCCGCGTGGGCGGCGCGGCGGCGAGGCCTGGTGGTGCTCCTGCCTCTCCCTTGGCGGCGCTCGGCTTGGGGGCGTGGTGCTCCGGATCTCGGCGCTTCCCCGATGGGTCACCGTTCCTGCTCGGCTGGGCGGCGCGGGAGCCTCGGTGGTGCTTCGGTGGCCGGCGGGGAGGCTGGCGGACACTGGATCTGGCCGGGCGTGGCTGGATCCGGGCGTTCTTCGGGGGTTTTCTGCTGCAGCCTGTTCGTTGTCTCCGCGTGGTGCGGTTCCTGCGGTGTGGCGGCGGTGACCTCCTGCCCCAAGGCCTGGTGAGGGCGACGGCGTGAGGTCGGCCCGATGGCGGTGACGGTGGTGTGCGTCCAGGGCCCGGCATCTGGTCGGGCGGGCGCGCGGGACGGCCTTGGCAGGGGCGGGCGCTGACGGGAGGCTTCCCTCGGTGCTCTGCGGTGCTGGTTTGGTGGAGGTTTTAGGGAGGTTTGATGGAGGTCTGTGGCTGGCCGGTACGGGCTGGTGGTGGTCGAGCATCTCAGGGAGAAATCCTTCTTCCGACCTTTGCCGGAGCTGGCGACGGCGGCGCCTGTGGGCGTCGCGCTCTTTCCTAGAAGCGTCATCGATGTATGGTGCTCCACCCCTCACCCCGCGGCCTTGGCTCCGGAGGGAAACCTCTGATCTGCGGGATCGGACGATGAAGGCGTCTTCACGTCTTCTTCCTCCTTGGGGGCATCGTCTTGGAGCCGGCTACAACCTGAGACCGGTGGATGGCGGCATCTTCGCCGCATGGAAGGGCGGCATCTTCGCCGCGTGGGATGGCGGCATCTTCGCCGCGTGGAAGGGCGGCATTTTCGCTGCGTGGTTTGCTGAGGCGGCCGTTTCAGGGGCGCCGATTTCTGTTTGGCAACGATGATGGCGTCAAGAGGAGCTTGGGTCGCGGCTCGGGCTTTGGTAGTCGGATCTTCCCGGCGTGCCCGAGGTGCTCTTTAGGGCACGGTCGGCGCAAGTCCTGCATATTTCCCTTGTGAGGCTCGTCGTCAAAGTCGAAGTTGTCGGTTGTTGGCGTGTGTGGCCATCTGTTGGCATGTGCCGTCATTGCTCTGTGTAGCTGTTTGCGAGGGCGACTTGTTGGTGGAGCTCTATGGTGAAGTCGGAGTCGCCCGTTCGGAGATAACCGGTGATGACGATGACGCTTGCGACTCCCCGGCGGATGTCTTTTCTTCTTTGCAGCTCATGTTTCATGTCGGTGGCCAGGTTGGCCGGTGGTGCCCATGTTATATGGGTTGGGTTATATTGGTTTTAGCCCGGTTTTCCGTCAATTAACCGGGCAATTCTTACTTCTTCTTAATCAATGAAAATGGCAAGTCTTTGCCTCGTTTCAAAAAAAGATAGACTTTTCTGGTAACTAGTTGGAGTATGAAAAAAGTGTCAAGAGGGTGCAAGCACAAGGAGCTAGGAAGGATGGAAGAGATCTTTACCCTCTTTTCACTTCACTACTCAAACTTTTTGTTAGAAAAAGCGAAAATAGCTCAGTGGGAGGAGACGTTCTCGTCGACGACGAGGCGCCTACGGTGACTTCGTAAATCTCAAGATGATATGCCGGCCCAGTCTCTCGGAGGTGCTCATAGGGGTAGGGTGTGCGTGTGTGCGTTCATAAGGATGAGTGTATGCGCGTGTATATGAACGCTTATGTCTGTACTGATGCTCAAAAAAAAGTAATTGCGGTCTACATTGATCTTAGCCTAATTAAGCACCAAAAGAGTCTAGACGTGAGGTGAAGTGTTGGAATTGGTTGGTACATAGATTCACCCATGGTGGAAGGCATGTTATCAACTTTTTTTTTTTTGGCTTTTGGGTGATCTGGCCGGTGCGTGCACTTCTACAGCAATGAGCTAGGGTTGTTATCATTTGCAAAGTGAGTCTTTATATAACACAGGATAAAGGTGCGGTACATTTTACACTCGTATTGGCGTATAACACGACAATGACACACGATCCACATGCATGCCCACACATGCAACGCACATCACAACACAAACACATCGGCAGCAGCTTCAGCACACATGCATCACTCCTAATCGGCAGTTCGGCACTAGCATATTAATCCCACCACCTCCCTACGGCATCCCATGATCTCATCAGGTGATATTCGGAGCCTCAGACGTAGCACTCGTAGAGCTTGATGTCCATCTGCAGGCGGAAGTAGAGCAACCCCTCGACGGCGTCGGTGCGGAGCGTGGCGACGCCGCGCGCCATGAAGAAATCGCCGGTGCCGCCGACGACGGAGATGTCCCGCGTCTCCTCGCCCATGAGGTCGGCGCCCATGAGGTTGAGGGTGCCCCTGTGCGCCGTGGAGTTGAACACGAGCGAGAAGGCGAACCACGCGTTGAAGGACCCCTTCCCGTCGTAGAAGTAGAACCCCTGTGCGCGCGCCGCGGGCTCCTCCTCGGCCCCGGCGGGCAGCGCCTGCCCCACCGTCACCGGGTCATCGAACACCACCAGCATGCCGAAGTAGGTGTCGTTGCTCAGCGCCGGCGGGCTCGTCGCGGCCGCTGACGTCGCGTTGGCCGTGTTGTTGGCGCCGTCGTGGAGGATGTCGTGGTAGTAGAGCGTCATCTGCCTGCACGGCTCGTCGGGGCTGCCGGAGACGAGCCTCCTCCGGCCGTCGGCGGCGGCGGCGACGCCGAAACCGATCAGGAGAAACGTCGCGAGCATGACGGCCCTTGAAGATGCCGCGAGGCCTTGCATTGTCGTCGATCGGTGCAACTCTTGCCTGCTATATGTGCTTAAGCAGGCAGTGCCAGTAGCTAGCTGATCGAAGGGCTCGGCTCGTGCATGCTGTGTAAGCAAATCCGCATATATATAGGCGTGGAGCAGACAATACTAGTGGGGTTGGTTCGGTGAAAAGGACCGACCCGGTAAAAGGGGGCCGGCCGGCCGGGCATAAATCTTAGTGAAAAGTAACGGTAGCGATCAGACACACATGGCGTGGTTGGTATAGTGTCGTTGTTCCAGCACCATGCTGTGAAAACTTGTGCAAAATAACATGCGTTGGTGCCATTTCCGCGTCACTTTGAACCTCATCAACTACTCCCTCTGGGAGTACTATTTATTTTTCTACTGACATAGGCTTATGCGCAAAACTCCCCTACGTGCACTTTACCTACGAAACATGTCGCCAAACTGCACATTTAGTAGGCAACATGGTCACAAAACTACAACACTACTCTTCTAAGAGAAAAGTTTAATGATATTTACTCGTCAGTAACACTCGACTGTGACTTGGCATGCCAGCGATGTTTGGCTTCGTTGATTTGGCCGTACATACCGGCATACTTGGCCCAGCTGTGAGGTGTTGACAATGAAGAAAGTAGCCCTAACAATGCATTGTTTTTCCCTAAAAAAATGCATTGTTTTTTTAAAGGAGGTTAACCCACAGCCTCTGCATTATTGCGATGCACACAGCCATAAGATGTCCACTAGAAAAACTCTACCATGTCCACAGCTTTCACATATTCACCATTCACCATTACTCCAGGCACTAAGATGGCAATACTCTCACATATACTACTGCTATCCAAAATACAACAAGGCAATGCGGACGGTGCTACCATACATTTACAACGGCGGTGATACACGGCAGGACCAATCGGGTCAAGAAACAACAAAAGCATGCACTTGATCACAGTGCGTTGATCCCTCCATCAAAACCTGCGGCTTTTCGGGCTGGGCTGGGCTTCCGTGGAAGTGCTGCATCGCTTGAGGTAGGTGTCAAGTGTCTTCTGCTTCGAGGGGCTTGGTCTCGTTTCGATCTGCGAGACGTTCAGCGTTTTCTCCTGCCCGTCCAGCATCTGGTGACAACAGAACATCACATTGTCAGACCCATTCATGGCATATCAACCGTTGATATGAGAAACCTCAATGGACATTATAACTGCCGAACAGTTTCAGGGTAATTATAACTAAAATCACTAGAAAAGCCAACGGGGTCAGCTATCGTTATGCGCTTATGATGGAATGAAATGTTGGTTATCGTAGAAGAAAATAGTGTGCAAGTGCAAGGACAGAGGGAAAGAGGGACAAATAGCAGACCTGCCCCAAATTCTCAAGTTTGCCCTGAACAACATCCCTACAGAGCAATAAAAGTGGCAAAGACACTTCAGTGGATGATCTTAAGTACAACAGTTGTGTATGGAAAACAAGATTCAGGCATACCATATAATATCATCTACTGTGTCGTTTGCGAGAAGGTAATATATGTTCACCGAAGAAACCTGGAAATTTGGGAAGAGAACAAGAGGAAAAATAAGGGTCAGAAAGGTGGACCCACAAATTATCAACTGCAGAGAAGCCACATATTAGGCTAGAACAAGAAATGCGATGTTCACCTGACCAATCCGGTGGGCACGATCCTCTGCCTGAATAATGTCACCTGGAGTCCATGATAACTCAGCAAAGATAACTGTACTTGCTGCTGTCAAAGTTAACCCCACGCCTCCAGCTTTGATGGATAACTGCAATGTTAAGGCTTCCATGAGGTTACACACAATAAATAAACAGAACTTTCCATCCAGAAATTTTATAAAATGATGTCTGTTGGTTGGAGCATTGCATTATGCTGTGTGATCTCAATTGTGACTTAACTACATATGCTTTCAAATCTTTGTGATTGTTCGCCTTATTATTGAATAAGGCAAACATATCTCTACCATGGCCTAGCCTTGGTGCTCTCTTCCAGCTCTAGAAGCACAAAGGCTTCAGAAAAGGTCATAATTCACTGGCAGTTTCAGTCAGCATTGTGCCACCCAAGGATCATTTTCGTGGGCAAGTGAACAATATGCGAAAAATATATGCCGGTAAATAAACTTAAAGTGAATAAACATGTAGGTATCATTTGCAGTTGTGCACACACGTTGGTATCAATCAGCTTATATGCAATTAACTCTGGCAGAACGCTATGCATTCCAAAAAAAAAACTCCAGCAGAACGCTAACTATAATATAATGCCCAAAATTAATAGGAATTAGCACAACTCTGGCAGAACGCTAACTAGAATATAATGCCCGGAATTAATAGGAATTAGCACAACTCTGGCAGAACACTAACTAGAATATAATGGCCAAAATTAATAGGGATTAGCACATACCACTGCTGCCTTGATGTCATCCTTGTTCTGGAAATCTGTGACCAAATTTTGCCTTACAGCTACAGGTGTTTGGCCATCAATTCTTATACATTTGACTTTCTTTTTCTGAAACACGGCAGTATGTAGGTATGTAGTAGCTCCAGATGTATCATAAACAGGTCAAATCGAAATAAACTCTTAGGAACTTACCAAGAGATGTTGGTGAATAGCATCAATCATGGGTTGATGGTGTGCAAATATTAAGAATTTGCAGTCAGCCTGACAAATAAAGCCATCAGTCAAATGTGAATGACTTGATAAAAGACATATCAAAGCCATTTCACAGAGGGCTTCTCCAATTCCAGGCTGGGTGATGATTATGCCATACTAGCTAAATTCCCATACTTTGTCACCGATAAAAAAAATTGATCAATTAAGATATTATCTGTTGTTGCCGCTCTCTCTCTCTCTCTCACGCCGGACAGAGGTGGAAGTAAGAGCACACTTTTTTCCCGGCGACGAACGCCCCGGCGCCCAAACGCCTCATTTATATTCAGCACATAGGCTACATCACGGCTGAGAGCTTCACCGGCTCCTTCCACAATCAGTACACAAGCGTTTTTATATCCGACGCACACACATACTAGCACACGCACGCACGCAAGACCCGGCCACCACACCGGCCACTAACTCCACGCACGCAGTAATCTTGCTAACTAACCACAGCGTGCACGCCTCTTACTTGACCGGCACACGCTATCTTATCCATCTACCGCATGCATGCACGACCGCACACCACGGCTGCCTAACTGATCGGCTGAAGCTGCTGCTCGTTGCCAGCTCCGCGTAGACGACTCAGCCACCATCAAGCATTGTGGCTTACTCCTAACATTCTCCCCTTAAGCCACAACCCCACCGTCGTCAGAGTTGTTGCAGTTCCTGTCATTGTCGTCGTCACGGCCGTGACACAGCTCGCGGACCCGAACCGGCGCTTCGACACCGGTCACACCGCACGGACCCGACCTGGCGCACTGACGCCAGTCACACCGTACTCCGTCACGACCCCGGCGACATATGCCGAACTCCTTCTCCGCCGGCGACACACGCCTGACGTCCCTCGACGCCCCGCACGTCCCGCGCGCACCCGACGCGCCCGACCGCCCCAGTGCGTCCCGCATGTCCCGCGCGCACCCGACGCGCCCGACAAGCCCAACCACACCAGTGAGTCCTGCACGTCCCGCGCGCATCCGACGCGCCCGACGAGCCCGACCGCACCAGACGCTCACCGCGCGCCCACGGTCCCGACGCGCCCGACGCGTCCAGTGCGCACCCATAACACGCACCGGTCGCGCCCGGCTCGCCGCCGCGGCTTATTGCCCTGCACCGCTGCGCCGTCCATGCCGCCACGCCGTGCTGCGCCGCCGCGCCACCACGCAGCGCCTCGGCGGCCTCCGCGGTCACCGCCCGCCGCCTCCGCCACGCGCCATGATAGCCACAGCGTCGCCCACCTCCATGGGCCAACACATGGCCCGGAGCTCCGTCGCACAGCCGCCGGCGAGCGCTGCCACACCTCTGGCACGGCAAGCACGCCCAAGACACCAAGCTCATGATACCAAATGTTGTTGCCGCTCTCTCTCTCACGCCGGACAGAGGTGGAAGTAAGAGCACACTTTTTTCCTGGCGAGCAACGCCCCGGCGACGAACGCCCCGGCGCCCAAACGCCTCATTTATATTCAGCACATAGGCTACATCACGGCTGAGAGCTTCACCGGCTCCTTCCACAATCAGTACACAAGCGCTTTTATATCCGACACACACACATACTAGCACACGCACGCACGCAAGACCTGGCCACCACACCGGCCACTAACTCCATGCATGCAGTAATCTTGCTAACTAACCACAGCGTGCACGCCTCTTACTTGACCGGCACACACGCTATCTTATCCATCTACCGCATGCATGCACGACCGCACACCACGGCTGCCTAACTGATCGGCCGAAGCTGCTGCTCGTTGCCAGCTCCGCGTAGACGACTCAGCCACCATCAAGCATTGTGGCT